TCTTTGTAATGCAAGCAGTCATCATTGACTGTCATCTCTGTTTAATGCATATTATACTAATTTAGAGTAATGCCATATTGTCAGTAACACACATTCTATGTTCTGTGTCTTTGTTTTGTCAGATTGTTGTCATTCCTTTGATAAAGCGACTGTTAGACTTTTAACTGACAATCCAAGAGTTGGTGAATTTTCATCTGACTTGAAATGTACCTTATCAGAATTAAGTGCAATCTCGTCCAATACAGGATGCCTGTCTGCAATATCTAGTGTACCAAGTGTGGCATTCAAGCTGATACTGATAATAAGACTAATTTTCCTAACGAGAAGTCGTTTCATCAGTTTAAAAAACAAAGGTAATAAAATGTTTATCTGAGTTGCCTAGCAAAACACATACAATGCTTTGTAACCTCCTTTCATTCTTGTTTTGTAATCTTTGTTGTTCCACATTGTAATTTGTTGTTCCATGTTTTCAGAGATTTATTTTATGAACTGATCAGAACATGGGAAGATCACCGTCATGAAACTGGATGGACAATGAAAACAGCTATGGCTCATAAAATATGGTAAACACTCGGTACTGTAATTTGCCATCACTTGTTATTTTTATTGTTGAGTTCATCATCAGTCTAGTCTTGCTTGCTGATAATTATTCGATTGAATTAAACAAGAATGTCTTTACATAGTCTTGTAACATTGATGGAACATTACTGGATGTAAATCAGAACTTTTTAAAAGTCGATTGATTGATGCACTGTCATGCTGAATTCAATTCTTTGCTGTACATGACGATAAATTAAAAGAGGATACACCTGCTATAACCTGCACCTTCTATTTTCTCAAACTATGAACTATATACCTGTCATGTATCTAATATTAATAATAAGATCATTTTATATATTTCAGGGAGTTAGTACATCATCAGCTAGAATTTGCCAACTTTGCTCACTTTGTAAGACTTTTCCAGTCCCAACTTATTAAGGTATGTTTTTCACTTTACCTGTAGTCTTACTGTAAACTATTTTAATAGCAAGATGTCAGTGACTTTCATGTAATGTTGTCTTTATGAATGCTATAAAATCCTGAAAATTTCTAACAATGAAAATTAAACAATTTAGAGTAACACAAGAGTAGCACATGAAATGGTAATGATCTACATGTGTTGTTGATATTCAGATGTGTAAAGGAGGAAGTACTAAAATTGATGATACTGGTAATTCTGATGATATGTATTTCTTGCAACAACTTAGGAAACAGAACCCAGAGAAATTGAAACGGTGAGTGTATGTTTATTTTTTGGGTTGATAGGGAGAGCAGGTTCTTAAGGGCAGACTGGTTTAGGATGAAAAAGCAGGTTCTCGAGGGCATTCTGGGTTGGGATGACAAAAGCAGGCTCTTACGAGCAGTCTGGGTTGTGATAAAAAGAGCATGTTCTCAGAGGCAGGGGCTGAAAAGAACAGGTTCTCAGGGGCAGTCTGGGTTGTGATAAAAAGAGCAGGTTCTCAGAGGCAGTCTGATTAGGGCTGAAAAGAACAGGTTCTCAGGGGCATTCTGGGTTGTGATAAAAAGAGCAGGTTCTCAGAGGCAGTCTGGGTTGTGATAAAAAGAGCAGGTTCTCAGAGGCAGTCTGATTAGGGCTGAAAAGAACAGGTTCTCAGGGGCAGTCTGGGTTGTGATAAAAAGAGCAGGTTCTCAGAGGCAGTCTGATTAGGGCTGAAAAGAACAGGTTCTCAGGGGCATTCTGGGTTGGGATGAAAAGAGCCAGTTCTCAGGGGCAGTCTGGGTTGGGATGAAAAGAGCCAGTTCTCAGGGGCAGTCTGGGTTAGGACGAAAAGAGCCAGTTCTCAGGGGAGTCAGGGTTGGGATGAAAAGAGCCAGTTCTCAGGGGGAGTCAGGGTTGGGATGAAAAGAGCAAGTTCCCAGAAGCAGTCTGGGTTGGGGTAGAAAGAGCAGGTTCTCAATGGCAGTCTGTGTTGGGATAAAAAAAACAGGTTCTCGGCGACAGTCTTGAATTTGATGAAAAGAACAGGTTCTTTGGAGTAGTCAGGGTTGGGGTAGAAAGAGCAGGTTCTCAATGGCAGTCTGTGTTGGGATAAAAAAAACAGGTTCTCAGGGGCAGTCTTGAATTTGATGAAAAGAACAGGTTCTTTGGAGCAGTCAGGGTTGGGGTAGAAAGAGCAGGTTCTCAATGGCAGTCTGTATTGGGATAAAAAAAAAAAGGTTCTCGGGGGCAGTCTTGAATTTGATGAAAAGAACAGGTTCTTTGGAGCAGTCGGGGTTGGGTAGAAAGAGCAGGTTCCCAGGATCAGTCTGGGTTTGGGTAGAAAGAGCAGATTCTCAATGGCAGCCTGGATTTGGGTAAAAAGAACAGGTTCTCTGGAGCAGTCCTGGTTGGAGTAAAAATATTATGCTCACGTACAGGGGCAGTATGGGTGGGGGTAAAAAGAGGAGGTTCCCAAGGGCAGTATGGGTGGGGGTAAAAAGAGGAGGTTCCCAGGGGCAGTATGGGTGGGGGTAAAAAGAGGAGGTTCCCAGGGGCAGTATGGGTGGGGGTAAAAAGAGGAGGTTCCCAGGGGCAGTATGGGTGGGGGTGAAAAGAGGAGGTTCCCAGGGGCAGTATGAGTGGGGGTAAAAAGAGGAGGTTCCCAGGGGCAGTATGGTGGGGATAAAAAGAGGAGGTTCCCAGGGGCAGTATGAGTGGGGGTGAAAAGAGGAGGTGCTCAGGGGCAGATTGCTAGGAAGATTAAAACTACAGTGAATGAAGTGTCTTTTTATACTTAGCTGCAGTGTGTTTTAAACCAGATAGCATATTGCTACGTGTGTAACTATTATTTGAATTTAGAACCGTGTGGATTAATATGTTAAATGTTTTATTTTTTCAGTTTACAGGAGAGATTAATAACTCCATTATCCCATGGTGGTCCTTCGCCAGCACCAACATTTCCTGGCTCTCAGGAATTCTTTCATAGCTTCATTCTCATAGCTGACAGGTAATATCCAATCAAATCGCTCTGTGTCATCACATGATGTAATCTTGTTATCATAATATATCACATCTTGTTTGATTATCAAATTGTAGCTGCGTATCTTATCATGTTACTAAGTAATTTCTTCACTAGAGCCCTGATTGTGAAACGAAACACAAGTGTTCCATTCCTAGCATATTGTAAATGCAATAATTATCCACTTAAAATAAAAATAGAATTTATTGTTTTCCTGCCAAGTCATGGAGTTTGAAACCAGTGAAATTGCTCAAAACTTCAAAATAGTGAAATTAAATGCCACGATTGATACACATATTAGATGTTATATGTTACATTGGTTTTCTACAGTATTTACAACATTCTAATTGTGAAATATTATTACTCCCATGTAGTCATGCATTCAATCAACATTTGATGGATAGTTTATCAGCCAAGATAATGCAGGTATGTACATCACAGTATTACGATATTATTGCAATGTACAGTATTACCATTATAAGTCAAGCAGCATGGCTGCATAACACATTGAGTGCAGTCAATTGAGGTACAGACTTGTAGTGATCCATTTCTTGAACACAACATGTGTTATTCCTATATTTGGTTTGTTTCTAGCATAACAGTTATCAGCAATAATTTTCAATATAGCTAATTAATAATTACAATTTTACTGAGAACATCAATTCTAAAATGTCTTTCATCTTTCAGATAAATAGAATGGATTTTTCCCTTGAGGGAAATTCAGAAGAAGAATCTGAAATGCCTAATTTATTTCAGGTAATTTTTTTATCACTCCATGTCATGTCTTTATTTTGTAAATGTTGGTTTTGCATGTCTTAATTGTTCATTTGGCACACAATGGAAATTACATAGATGCCCTGGGACAATACACAAACTTCATTAGTTTTATGATATATTACTGAAGTTATCATATGTGGTCATGATTTCATTGTTACCGGTATATCATATCCGCTTGAAATTACCCTGATCACTGCTTGCAGTTACATTTTTACGTACCATATTTGCTCTATTAGCAGCACATGTGCTTACATGTAAATGACGCAGGTAAGTCTATGGCTAAAATAAGATATTTTTTAATGATTTTGCTTTATGTATATTTGAGATGTGTTCTGATATAGTAATTACAATATTCCTTATTTATAGGAACAAAGAGATACTTTATTGAATGGATTGCTGACATCCAAGATACTGGGCAAATTTTTAGGATTGGTTGTGTTTTTACCTTATCAGAGTCCAGACAAACTGCCTTCCAGTCTTCAGTCATCTATAATTGCTATCAGGAATCAGGTGAGATGCAGTTCATTTCAATTAAATCAGTAGAGTTGTACTGTCTATTAGTTCATAGATTTATGAGTATGTTTAGATTAATATGGTTCTATACAATGTCAAAATTGTTGAACATGGCTAGTATTTTTTGTGCCAAATTTAGCTTAGATATGTTGAACTTATTTTTTAGTAACTTTCATGCAATTCATGTTATATTATTCTGTAAGGGACATTGAGATTAATACAGTACATGTAGTATTATTTGAGGAACATGAATATTAATTACTGTTTTATGTAATGATGATGACGACTTTTCAAATGACAAAAATGAGTATAAAAGTCCTGAAATAATGCAGTAATATGCATTGTTAGTTTGTATTCATTCATTTTTTTATTCAATCTAGATTCTCAATGGACAAGGTTGTAATACGGTAGTTATGCATGTTTTTAATAATCTTGATGATGTGGAACTGGGTACATAAACAGTGAATTTTATTCTCTATGTTACTTTGTATATTTCAGTCTTACAAACCACTGGACATCCTCAGTGAATTACAACTAGCCACAGAACAAGATAGATTGATATTGACCTTACCCTGGGTAATAGATTATATCAGTATGATGGACAGCATAGCACCATATTTAGAATACTATCATAGTGTATTGGATCAATTATTAAAGCTTTACAGGTTAGCATCTAGTGTGTGTTTCTATTATGTTAATATTGAAATGGCTGGGCAATCAACTATAGTAAATATTTTACACAAACATGCATTGATGGCACATGTACTACATTTTTGACTCCTGTGAGTCTTTGCAGTTAGTGTGTCTGTATGTGTGTGTGTGTGTGTATGTGTGTGTGTGTGTG